TCATATATCATTTATCACACCTTTTTTTCCGATTTCGCCTTAACAGTTGAAATACACTCAGCTTTGCCTCACCCATCTTTCCACACTTCATGTATCGTAACCCCTAAGGCACAGATTAGAGCAGATTTCTGGGGTATGTGCTATGAACCAGACTCTGTACTAACGTTGAGAGAAAATTACCATGAAGATTTAATTCTTAAACTCACAAATTTAGGTTCCGAGGTCACTGAAAACTTCCTGCCACAATTTTCTCACCTATAAAATGGGACCAAGAGGTCCTGGAGAGATGATTCAGTGGTCAGGAGCACTTGCTGCTCTTGCAGATGACCCAAGTCCAGTTCCCATCACCTATGTTGGGCAGCTCACAATGGCCTGTAACTCCAGCTTCAGAGGATCCAGTGCCCTCTCCTGGTCTCTCTGCACACACAGACACACACACACAGACACAGACACAAAGCCACACACACACACACACACACATAAAAATTAAGTAAATCGGCCAGGTGTGGTGGCGCATGCCTTTAATCCCAGCACTGGGGAGGCTGAGGCAGGTGGATCTCTGTGAGCTCAGGGCCAGCCTGGTCTACATAGTTCCAGGACAGTTGGGGCTACAGGGAGACCCTGTCTCAAAAAGACCAAAAAAAAATTGTAAATCTGAAAAAGTAATAATACTTTAATATGAACACTTGGGTGGCAGGGACAGGTGGATCTCTGTGAGATCAGGGCTAGTCGGGGCTACATAGTGAATTCCTGGTCAGATGGGGATACAGGGAGACCCTGTCTCGAAAAACAAAAGTAATAATTAAAAAATATTAAGAATGGTGCATGTTTTGGGCTGGCAGAAAGGGGCTAGAGGGGCTTGCGGCCAAGGCTGATGAACTGAATTCAATTCCTGGGACTCACATGGTAGAAGAGAACTGACTCCTGCATCCATTGTCCTCTGATTTCTCTTTCTCTCTCTCTCTCTCTCTCTCTCTCTCTCTCTCTCTCTCGTGACATGGTTTCCCTGTAGCCTTTGTTGGCCTGGAACTCACTATATAGACCAATAAAAAATAAATACTTCTTTAAGTATGTTATACCCTTCCCAGACTGCACAGCTATAGCTGGTAAGGGACTAAACACAGAGTGATCGTTGGATAAGCACCAGCCTTGAATGCAGTTCCACCTGTGAGCCAAATACAGCATCACAAACCATCCTTACATCATCTATTCAAGCCACCCAATGAGTCAGGGAGTCTTGAACGGAGCCCAGATCCTGAAGTCTGTTGACCCAGCTCTCCCATAAGGGAATTCGATTTTCCAAATAAAATAAACCATACCCTTTAACTTTTCTCATCTGTTTCTAATCTGCCTTTGAAATGCCGTGATGGATTTCCGCAGAAGATGGTCCCCACCTTCTGGGTGGTGAGGTTTGCACAGAGGAGGTTGGTAATACAACCCCCAGGTGCTGCCGCATTGACCCATCCCCCAGACTTCCTGCCAGTTCTTGACTCTTGAATGCCCCCCTCCCGCCAACAGTTACAGATATTTATTGGCATTGACTGACTTATGAATATTATATCCTCCCAAATAACAGATACTGTGAAAGGCAGACTAGGAAATAAGACCAAAGACTTTCAACACCCTAAGGATGTGTGTATGGGGCGGGGTGACTATGCTTTCCTGAATCCAAGAACAATTGCTCAAAGCTTAAGAATAAAAAACTAGAATCCATTTCCAAATATCTCCAGAATAATATGTCCTCCTCAAGATGCTGGGAGGAATGCAAACCAGAGCTTTTACTTTTGTTAGCTTTTAATATGGCCTTTTAGATGTGTCTGAGAATGTTCTTAAAAATAGGTAGTCTGCTTTTTAAAATAGCAGTGAGTGAGGATCTTGCAGTGCTGTGATGTGGAAATAAAGAAGGTAAAGATCCATGTTCTGAACGGAGCACTACAATGCACATGCTTGTATGGTTGGTTGCATGTAAAAAACTAACCATTTATCATTAATTTATTGGGGGACACATGCCACAGTGCACAAGTAGAGGTCAGAGGACACCTGAACCTTGCAGGTGCTGGTTCTCTCCTTCCACCATGTAGGTTCTAGGGATCGAGTTCAGTTCCTCAGGCTTGGTGGCGGGTACCTCTAGCCACTGAGTCATCTTACCAACCCATAATTGAACATTTTGAACTTTGATTTTTGAAGCTATAAAGTTATGGATGATCTGTATTCTTGCCTCTATCAATGAGTTGTCACGGAGAATAACGAGATTTCTTTAGCAGTGTAAAAGCTGTTTTCCCTCACCAACATTTTATATAGTAACTATGAGAATGCTATGAACCAGGCACTATTTATTATTATTATCCTTAATTTCTGGAGCTCAAATAACTTCACCAGTTTGCCTAAGGTCTGAGAAAGCAGCAAAGTGTACCCAACACACATCTTAGGACACCTTCATTTGTCCCATTGGCTTGTGAGTTGACAGCAGAGTCATCTTCGCCTATTTCTCAAGAAGGAACACGTTCCCTGACTGGTGGTAGGCGGTCAGTAAATATCTGATGAGCTGGGAAGAGCCAAAGGACTATGTGGGAGATCTGGGTCAGCAGGAGTCAGTCAGAAACAGACATGAGATTCTACATGATATGTCAGAAGACAGTAGTTTTTTTAATGTGCATACCACAAATACACAGGAGAGATATGTATCCTCTTCATCACTTTAGTCTTTCTATTTTGGGATATGTTTGTTTGGTTGTAAAGGAAAAAAAAATAATAACCTACTCCGTGGGGGTGTGACAGATAAATCCTTCCTGCAGAAACCTCAGCAGGTGGACTCTAACCAACGTCCAGTCTACAAAGAGGAGGGTCAGCATTGAGGAAATTTTCCTTAATGCTTTCAAGTGAAGTCATAGTCAGGTAAAGCCTTTGACCTACCCTCACATAGCTGAAGAGTTGGCAAAGAGAAGGCTAAAGAAACCAAAGGCTCCTCCCAAGCCCAAGTGACCCTTGAGGACCAGATCATCAACTGACCTTTACAGTAAAAAGAAAATGGTTAACTGATAGGTGAAGTAGCCGATGGATGAATCGGGTTGATTGGGAGAAAGCACCAAGACACAGATAAAATTCTAAGCGGGATAGAGTTTTATTTTGCACGGACAAGCTCCCTTTGGGGGAGGGAAAGTGTCAGCCCACAGGTTGTGAGTTGGGGCCTTTATAAGGGGCTTCGGGAGGTGCAGAAGACGGGAAGGGTTCTTTTGTTTTTACTTAATTAGGCACGGGGGGGGGGGGGGGGAGTGGGAAAGCGGGACTTGTCAGAACAGCTGCAGTTAAAACCTGCCCCCTTCCGTCTGTCAGCCAGGATCTGGGTCAAGAGGTATTTGTTTTCCCCCCCCCCCTTTTTTTTGTTTTTTTGTGACAGGGTCTCCCTGTAGCCCCAGCTGTTCTGGAACTCACTATGTAGACCAGGGTGGCCTAGGACTCACAGAGATCTGCCTGCCTCTGCCTCCCGAGTGCTGGGATTAAAGGCCTGTGCCATTTTACCCTTTTAAGATCAAAAGGGAAAACCTCCTGTGTGATCGCTGGTCAAAAGGTGGAATCTGTTTATCTTGTCTTCCGAGATCATCAAAGGGAAAGCAAGCTGCCTTTTGCCAAAAGGTGTAAAAGAGTCTGCTTCTCTTGACTTCAAAGACCAGGGTGCTTATCAACTTGGTTCCCATTTCTCAGGGGCTTGTGAAATCTGTGAGGCCCTGCTGGAGAGGGGGAGGGCTGCTGCAGATTGGAACCCTAACATTAACGTTGCTCATCTTCATGGTCTTAAACACCCCACAAAAAATATAACCAAAACTTAAAATGGTTGGTATGTTTCTTTGACAATCCAAGGGACTACATTTTTAAAAATATTTTATTATTTTTATTTTGTGCATACAAGTGTATTGCCTGCATGTATGTAAGTGCACCTGTGTCGTGCAGTGCCCACAGAGGTCAGAAGAGGGTGTTGGATCCCCTGGAATTGGAGTTACAGATAGTTGTTAGCCACCATGTGGGTGCTGGTAACTGAACCCAGGTTCTCTGCAAGAGTAGCCAGTGCTATTAATTGCTGAGCCATCTGTCCAGTCCTGGGACTACATTTTAAAAATATTAGTCTTTTACCATGTGACATGTTATTTAGACAATTATTTCTTGCTAATTTTCTTCTTGATAAAATGCTGCTTAAATATAAGACTTTCAGACCTTGATCAACTCAGTACTACAACACCCATAGGCAATGTGTGCCTACAGCCAAGAGGGACAGGCCTACTATTGTTGGAGAGATGGCTTAGCGGTTAAGAGCACTGACTGCTCTTGCAGAGGACCCAGGTTTGAGTCCCAGCACCCACATGGCAGCTATGAACCGTCCTTAACTCCAGTTCCAGGGGACTCTGAAGCCGTCTTCTGACCTCCACAGCACTGCAAGACATGGGTGCACTCACATACAATCAGGCAACACACTCATACACATAAAATTTAAAAAAAAAAAAAAATTAAATGACAGCTAGATTCCTTTTCTCTCTCCCTCTCTATGCGGCATCTCGGAGGGATTTCACACTGTGATTTTAGCCTCTCTGACAGTTATCAAAGTGCCTGAAATCACACCCAGGGTTCAGTCAGGTCTGGAGGCCAAAGGAAAACAAAGAGAAGCCCAATCCATGAACTGCTTTGGGGAGCTCATGAAGAGATGCTAATGGACTTTAATTTGGACTTTAAAACAATATCCTCCGTTCTGGCTTTTCCCGGTTTCCTGCCTAAGGCTTGTAAGGCTGATACTTGTCTTTACTTCTCCCTCACGTCTCTCCAAACACAGTCAAGGACTTCCTTTCTTCCCGACAACTAACAGTTGTATACTTTTGGGGTCTCCTAAATAGGCCCACTGAAGAGGTGCCTGACTGCCACACCTGACGTCCCCATTCAGCTGGATGAATCCAGAGTTGACTGTCGCCCACCACCAGATAGAGAACGGCAAGTGCTTTTTTCTTTTTTTCTAGTATCATCATGGTGAGATGGAGCCATCCCAACACGTTGGAAATCTATACATGCGGAAGGATTCAGTGGCTGGTTAGAGTGTGTGCTTGCACGGAGACACAACTGAAAATGTATAAAACAGAAGATTCATGGGACTGGAGAGACGGCTCAGCAGATAAGAGCACTGGCTACTCTTACAGAGGACCTGGGTTTGAACCCAGCACCCACATGGCAGTTAACAACCTCTCTAACTCCAGTTCCAAGGAATCCACACCCTCTTCTGATCTCTGTGGACATTGTACACGTGGGAGCACTTACATACATGCAGGTGATACACTCACATGCATAAGATAAAAATAAATAAAATATTAAAAAAGAAAGATTCAAAATAATGTTTTGGGGACTGGAGAGATGGTGTAGAAGTTAAGAGCACTGGTTGCTCTTATGGAGGACCTGGGTTGGTTCCCAGCATGCTCACACCTGTAACTCCAGCTCCAGGGGATCTGACACCCTCTTCTGGACTCCAAAGTTTCCTGGACTCATGTACACACACATTCATATTCATTCTCCCTCCCGCCCTCCCTCCCTCTCTCCCCCTCTCCCCCTCCCTCTCTCCCTCTTCCTCCCTTCCTTTTTATCTCTTTTTAAAACATACATAGCAAAATACTGATAATATCAGATCCAAATTCTGTATTCCTCTTAATGTTTTGTGCCTGTGTGTGCTATGCAAGCATATGTGTGTTCATGTATATGTGTGCACACACATGTTTACCTGTGTGCATGCATGTGTGTGCATGGGTACGTGGCAGCCAGAGACTGACCCTGGTGTCTTGCCAGATGGTTCTTTTGTTTTTGTTGTTGTTTTGAGACAGGTCTCTCTGTAGCCCTAGCTGTCCTGGGACTCCCTAGGCAGACCAGACTGACCTCCATCTCACAGAGATCCACCCTCTCCCTCCCTCTCCTCTCTCTCTCCTCTCTCTCCTCTCTCTCCTCTCTCTCTTCTCTCCTCTTTCTGATGGCTTTCCACAAAGGTGAGTGAGTTGGAGAATCTGGACACATGCAAGTCCGGGCTACTGAGGAAATCTGTCTCCATCCACTGCTGATGTGTTGCTGACAAACTTGACCCAAACTGGAACAGCACAAGGGAAAATAGCAGAGACAGAACCCGGAGTTGTTCATCTTAGACACTGAAGTCAGTGTTAGAGATTCAAGCAGGCCCTGTAACCAGCACGTTTTCTACCATCCTTTCCCTTGGTAAACAGGTCTGAGAGGCTCTAAAACCAGTGTGTTTCTAAAAAGAGCCCAGTGTTGTGTCCAACTCAGCAGTCCTGACTCCACAGCCACAGCTGAATATAAAGGTTTGGCCTGTTGGGCTCATTCTGAGCTCAGAAGTGCTCAGGAAAGTGGTGATGGGTGTTCCCGTGCTCCTTCCTGAGGCGCAGGACAAGGGGAGGAAATCGTCCACAGCTGCGCTCCCATCCACAAGGTCCTCACGTTTCCTTCCGTGATACAGAGCAGACTGGGGACCACTAGATCTTCAGGGTGTCGCTCCTTTAACAAAGGCAATGAGAGTCATCTTTTCTAAACCAATTTTGATTGTAAAACAAATAATTGGTTTTTCAAAAAAAAAAAAAAAAATCCCATGTCCAAACTTAGGGGGAAAGTGAGAGGGGGGAGTGGCACAGGAGACAGGAAAACTGTCAGTTCGGTCGATTGCCAAGTTTACCAGACCTCACTCAATCAGCACCTTACGTTGCCAGCAACAAGCAAGGATCCCTTAAGTTCAAGGGGTAAAAGCAGATGGGAAGATGAAGGGAGGAGGAGGGAGGAGGAAGGGGGAAAGAGGAAGGAGGATGAAGACTAAGCTGAGCTACTTTGGGGTGCACGCCTTCCCGCAGATACTCGCCTTCTCTGTTTGTCTTTCCCCTTTCCTGATGTTCTGCTGGACATGGAAGAGGGAAGAGGCTGGGGATGTAGTTCAGAGATAAAGCGTTTGCCTAGAAAGCACCAGGTCCCTGATTCAGTCCCTAGTACTAAGGTGGGAGAGGGAGTGGGGGGGGGGCGGAGAGGGGCAGGGGCCAGTGTCCATCCTATGAGTATTCAGCCTAAGAGTTGAGAAACGTTACCTTGACCAAGCCGGACCTGACTGAGGGGAGAACTTTAAAGCACAGCTGTTTGGTCATTCATTTTGGCAAACACTCCCCCCTCATTTACTAACACCTAAAATTTCAGACTTAAGGAAAAGCAAATGTTGTAGAAGAAAATGCATGCCTGGTTTGAGTAAATGATTATGTCAGACTTGCATTTTTCTTCAGAAAACAAATTTGATATGTTTGTGAGAACAGGGAAGTGGGAGCTGGGAGGGGAGATGTGCAAAGGAGAGAGAGAGAGAGAGAGAGAGAGAGAGAGAGAGAGAACTGGAGGAGAAGATAGATTCTGAGGACAGTAGGCCTGGGATTAACTTGGAAGTCCTGGGAGGCCCTTAGAGTTTTATTATTGCTGTTAAACCCAAAGAAGGAGGTTCACAGCTTAGAACATTCTAAAATGTCAGTGTTAGCTGGAAAGCAATGACTCCTTAATTGCATGGAATTTAAAATGTGTAGGCAGCCCACTGACTGCTCTATAGGGAAAAACTTCCTTTAGAATCAGCCGTTTCAGCCCCCAGAGGGTGCTTTAAATTTATTTATTTATTTTTATATGTATGAGTGTTTTGTCTGCACATATGTAAGTGCGCCCATGCATGCGATGCCCTTGGAGACCAGAAGAGGGCATTGGGTGGTTGTTAGCCACCATGTGGGTGCTGGAAACCGAACTCAGGTCCTCTGCCAGAGCAGTCGGTGGCTTAACCACTGAGCCATCTCTCCAGCCCCAGAGAATACTTTTAATAGCTATAAAGTCCTTTCCTAATTTCAACATTGATGTTCCTGGTGTTGATTGCTTTTCCTTGTGAGACGTCAGTATTTTCCTGGATCATCACAGACATTTTGAATATTGCATTTTTAGACTCCAGGTCTTAAGTCTTTTCAGCAGGAGTTGAGCAGCTTAGGTTTAGGTGGTAAGTGGCCACCCTCCCTTCATGGGGGCTGGAGGGGTGGCTCGTGGGTTAAGAGCATTTGTTGTTTATTTTTATTTTATACGTACGTGTGTGTGTGTGTGTGTGTGTGTGTGTGTGTGTGTGTCCATGGAGGCCAGAAGAAGGCATTGTATCCACTGGAGTTACAGGGAGTTGTGAGCCACCTGAAGTGGGTGCTGGAACAAAACTGAGATTCTCTGCAAGAGCAGTAAGCACTCTTAGCTGCTGAGCCGTCTCTCCAGTTGGCCGATCTGAACGCGTCCTTTTGATGGTCTTATTCCAGCTTTCTTTTTCTCTTCTTTCACTCTGCTTAATCAGTTTCTGATTTCTCAAGTCAAGAATAAGTCAATTTGGTTTGTGTGTATGTGTATGTGTTTGCATGTTCATGTGTGTACATGTGTGTGGAGGCCGCAGGAACACCACCATCACCTCCATTGAGACAGGGTCTCATTGATCTGGGGCTCACCAATTAGACTAGACTGGCTGACAAGTGAGCCCCGGGGATCCTCCTGCCTCTGTTTCCCGATGTTGGGATTATTAGCACCCACATCCGGGGATCATATGCCACCACACCCAGCATTCAAGGGTTCTGTGGATCCAACTCAGGCCCTCCTGCTTAGAAGACAAGTACTTTATGACTGATCATCTCCCCAGCCCCCACGCCTGTCTTTTTGATAATCAACATAAAGAAACACTGTTTCTTTGTTGTCTTATTTGTGTGCTCTGGTCTACAATGGGGATGGGGGGGGAGCTTTTAAAAAGCCCAAGAACCTGTGTGATCTGAAAACTGTAGGTCTTGGCCATACTGTCCATCTCGTCTCATTTTGAGAGCCGTTTGTTTTGGGGGGGGCGGGGGGGAAGAGCTACGTTTGAAAGAGGTTGGCTGTTGGTACATCTCTGGGTCACTAGGAGGTTAGAGGAGAACTGGTATTCACAGGCAGAGAGAGATGACTGTCTCCACAGTAAAGGTCAAAATGGGTGTTTCAGTGTTTCCACACTAAGCACTGGGCCTTCCTTTATAGAAACCGTCTATAACCATCATGAATTACACTGTAATCTCCGTTCTCTCTCAGCTCAGAGGTAGGTGTGGAAATACAACAGATAGTTATATAAAGTCATTTAAAAATGTTCCAGTACTCTCCAGGGCTAGGGAGAAAACTTTGTGTCAGCTTGGTTCCCTAGTCCAGCACTCTTAAGGGGGGAACTTGTCCTGTGTCAGCCTGGGGTACCCAGTCCAGATGCCCACATCAAGCAGCATACACTCACACAGGCAAAACGCTCATATACATAAAATTAAAAATAAAATATTTTTTAAAAACTGTACAGCACTGAAATTATTGGGAAATGTATTTGACCCAAACATTTTTACTTTCCGTTAGATAATTCAGAGAATAATGACTGCAAAACAAGTCTCCCTTTAATATAACCAAGTTGGTTTTAAATCACAAACTGGTTTGTAGTAATTTGGAGATGTCAAAGGCATGTAAGGCAGTATTCACCACTGTATGGTCACACTAACTAGGCAGTGGCGAAAGGATGACTTCGATTGTCTCCAGCTACAAATACCCTAAAATGCACCGGCCACCCCAGGGTTTCCTTCTGGCTATCTCGAACCATCAAGCATTTGCCAGCAGAGGGAGCGCTTTTGTTACGGTCTGAAGCTTTTGGTTTTTAAGCTTTCGGAATTGCAGATTCGCAAGTATCCACAGCTCAACCCGGTGAAGCACTTTCTTCCCGTGTGAGTTGGCTTGAAAGAGTCCTGAAGTGTTTTTTGGTGTTTTTTGGGATGAAAAGGATGTCACAGAGCATCGATGAAATAGAGTGAGATGCTCGTTTGGAGCATGCGCTTTTTGCCCGTTGCGCACACTGTTGTTGCACACCGAGGCTCTCCCGGGGTCTGAGACCTCACCTATCCCAGCACGCTTCTCTGAATGTCGCTACCCAGACGCTTGGGCGCTTACGCTGCCTCGCGCATGCTCTAGGGGCAGGACATTTAACACAAACCCGCGGAATGACAAGTCGCGGATCCTACTGAAAAGTAAAAAATCGAGCTACAGATGTTGAGCTAACAGCAGACAGGGCTCCATAAGGCTCTGCCCACTCCGAAGCCCTCGGGAGGATCTGACAACTGGACGCTGATACATCCAGGGAGCCCAGTGGGGCCAGGGCCAAGGAGCTGGGCACGGACAATCGCCACCAGCGTGGCTGCGTTGGCCCCCCGGTGCTTTTTGCTTTTGTTTGGGTTTATTCAATTATTTATTTATTCAATTATTTATTCAATTGTTTATTCGTTTATTCAATTGTTTAGTCGATTATTTATTTATTTATTTATTTATTTTCCACATAGAGTCTCACTACATACCCAGAACTCGCAATCCTCCTGTCTCAGCCTTCCCCGGCGGGCGTTGTGATCCCAGGCGTTTGTTAAGTCAGCACTCCTGGCTTGGGTGCATTTTTTCAGCTTGGGTTGAAAACAGGAGGCATGTTACTTCTTGGATTTTACCCCCCTGGTTTTCATTTCCAGTTCATTGTGCCCTACATCGATCATGCAAAGCTTTCTTTGAACTCCAGAATGGTCCTGGGGGGTCCAGCTCTCACGTGGTGTCTATTTAACCACCCCCAGCATCTGCTCCCCTAGCACCCATAAAACTTTCTCTTTAGTAGTAAGCAAAAAAGGGTCTACGGTCAACGGGTGGGTCCTTGACGGCGCAGACCTGATGCTCTAGGATGCCCAGGGCACTCCCCGCGCTACTCGTTTATTTGATTGCATTGGATATATGCACACACGTTGTATCTTATTTTATTGCATTGGATATATGCACACAACTATATTTTATTGCATTGACACATGCACACACGTTCTGTCTTTTATCTTATTGCATTAGATATGTACATACATGTCTTATTTTATTGCGTTGGATATATGCACACGATTTTAATCTTTTATTGCATTGGATATGTGCACACACGTTGTCTTTTATTTTATTGCATTGTATATATGCACACACATTTTGTTGCATTGGATATATGCACACACATTGCATTAGATATATGCGCACACTGTCTTATTTTATTGCATTGGATATATGCGCACAAGTTCTTTATTTTGTTGCTTTGGATATATGCACACTATTTTATTACATTGGATATACGCACACACGTTCTTTTATTTTATTGCATTGGATATGTGCACACACGTTCCAACTTACTTTGGTTTTCTTGCATCAGATACGTGTACACACTTTCGTTCAGCCCAGGCTGGCTGGAACTAGCGGCCATCCTCCTGCCTCAGCCTCCCGCGCCCGCGGGCCTGGAGCACCACCTACTCCCAGGGTCCCGGGGCCCAGCGCAGTCCCAGGGCTCAGCGCTCTGCCCAGGTCGCCCGGAAGTTGTGCAATCCCGTATGCAAATGAGCGAGCGCCGCCGGCCAATCCGGAGCCTGCGGGGCGGTGACGCGGGCGCCGAGCCCCGGCGTATTTATAGCTCCTATTTAAAGAGCCCTGGGGAGGCTCCCGCGCGGCGGGGCGGTGGCGGGTATCGCCGGGTCGCGCTCCGTGGGGGGTTGGGGCCGTGGGGGCTGGGCGGGGCCGAGCGTGCACGCTGCCGGGTGGCCCGCGCCCACTTCCGGGGAGGGGAGCCAGCGCGGCCGGGCCGGTCATCTTTCCCTTTTTTGCTTTTTGGGACAGAATCTCACTCTAACCCCAGGCTGACCTAGAACCCACTATTCGTGGGCATCCTCCTGCCTCAGGCTTCCGAGTGCTGGGACTACAGGCGTGCACCATCGTGCATACATACATGCACTCGTACATACATACACCCTTAATATACATATTCTAAATAAAGGTAGGTATCTCCAGCTGGAGCAGATGTGCATCGACCCCACCCCAGGCCTCAGCCCCCAGCCAAGGCGTTTCCCGGTGCGGGCTGCAAGGAGGCCGCCTTCCAGGGGGGAGGGGAGACAATGCTGGCTGGAAGGCCCGGAGTCCTGGGATTTGGGGCGGAGTTGTTGGCTAGGTGACCCTCTGTTCCAAGAAAATAAGATGCAGGATAGTGACGGTGACCATCTCGGTGTTCAGGCGACCGACTTCCAGACTCCGAAGCCGGCGAGCTGCGCCCTGCAGAGCTAAAGCAGGAAACGCATGACGTCAGATGAGAGCAGGACCCTGCACTAGCCGGTGGTGTGTGCAGAGCCCGCAGGCTTCCTCTTCCCCCTCCCCCCACAGTGTCTTCCAGCCCAGCTTGGCCTGGGCTGTGGGCTCAGCTTGGCCTGGGCTGTGGGCTCAGCTTGGCCTGGGCTGTGGGCTCAGGCTCTGGGTGCTGTCCCAGGGAGGCATTGCAGGGTGTGTGCATGGTCAGCTGTTCACCTGGGGGCACAGAGGACCCCCCAGCCCCCTGGTCACCACAGGGTGCTCTACTGGGGGACCACAGGTTCCTTTTAAAGGTAGCCGCTTAGATGGGCATGTAAAAATCCCAGAGGGGAGTGTGGGAAGCCCTACCTGAGTGCTCAGATTACCACCAGTTAACCCCAGGCAAACAGGTAGAAAGGAGCACCCCAGAAGTACTATGGGACTGGATGGCCTCTCTGCCTCCTCAGGAACTCATTTCCCAGTATTTAGGCAGATCACTTTGTTCCCAGGGGCAGGCTTGCATCTCCTGTCACTCTGTGTGTGTGTGTGTGTGTGTGTGTGTGTGTGTGTGTGTGCACTCTAGCCCATGCTGGCCTGGATCTTTGTAACCCAGGCTTGTCTCAAACTCACAGCCTCCACGGGCTGGGATTATAAATCTGTCCTGCCAGACCCAAGGTCACTGCTCTTTGGACCTCAAGGACAAAGTGAAGCTGGAGAACATGGCTTTCTGTGCGTTTGCCATCTTGGAAAATCCATTCTCATGCAGGCTCACCTGCCGCGGCACTCTCCTGCCAGGCCGGAGGTATTCCTTGACCATCAGCTCTATCTCAGTCCCCAGTCTCCTGTGAGCAAAGCTCACCACAAAGGTGGTGGTCATGGGAGCATCCTATTCTGGGCACCACTCCAAGTCCTCTACCACACAGGATCTGATTGAACTCACAGTAACAGGTTAACTGAAACAGCTGTGCCCATTTTACAGAGAGGGAAAAAGTTCCCAGGTTCAGTGTGACCAGTCCCTAGGAGAATGTGAACCCAGGCCAGAGTCCACAATTCTCCAAAGCTGCTCTAGGGCCTTATCTCTCTGAGGAGGGGCCTTGATGTTGGTCTGAGGACCTATGGCCCCAGGCAAACAGAGATCTTCATTCATCCCTGTTCTCCAGTCCCTTGCCCTATACCTAGACCTGGTTATACATGGTAGGTGCCAGGCACCTGTTTTTAGTATCCTCATGTAAGAGAGACTGTTCTGGAAAACACACATGACTTAAGCTAATTTTCCAATTGCTTTGCGTTTATAATAATAGTATAAAGTTGTTTAATACTTGAACTTTGGCTTCCTAGGCCATTTGGTAAGAGTAGATCCTTTTGTCTCCCATAGAGAACCTAAAACCTGGAGGGATTTGCCATGAAAATGTTATTAGCTCAGCATCAGCTAATAACCTTCTGCAAGGTCAGTTGAGTGTCTTTGGTCTCTCCCTTCACAGAACGACTGCCTCTCCTCTGATCACTACTGTCTGTACAGGAGCAGGCCAGGGACTGCCCTTGGTTTGAGAGGATGGTCTGCAATTAATGTCCAGGAAGTGCAATCTGAATGAGAAACCATGCCTGTTTGTCGGACCATAACTGTGTATAATGGAAACCAGCCATCTGATTGTGTTAAGTCCAGCCCTGGCCCCTCCCAGCTGGGTGACTTTAGACAGCTCATGGAGTCTAAGATCTAGCTTCTTCAACTATAAATTGAAAGCTAACCTGTCCCTCCTGCCAGTGACCTCACTCCAGACCCCCTGTGCTGTCCTCTCCGGTAGTCCTTTGGTTTCAGCCTATTATCAGTCTAGGGGTCTTGACTGGATTGGTTTTCGCTAATGATTAAGGAATTAAAAGGGAGAAAAAAAAAACAAAAAACCTCAGACCAGCAGAGAGCACAAACTTTCATTGAAAGGTAAAGAATAACATCCATACACACATACACACGCTCATACAGAGAAAGTTCTCCACAAGAAGAGAGGGGACCCAGAAACTAGGACTCCCAAGTCCCCAGGGCAGGGCCTGGGCTTTAAGGGTTTTAATGGTTTCATCTCCCTTAATTTTGGATTGGTCAGCTTAAGCAAAGAGAAGAGTGGTCAATAGGTCATATCTCTAAACTGAGAAATATCCAGGGCTGTGTGACTCTGAGCAGGTCCGTTGAAGGGACCCTGTTGGAGTTACAAATAAAAGCTTCCTGCAGGACCAAAAAGCAGGAAGTGTGGAAGCTTTCCTTTTCCTCAGTGACCCTGTTTACTTATTAGGAATTTAGTCCCTTATACTTCAAATGCTGCTGTTTCCCAAAGCTCCTTTCTAAACCCGGTCTCTTGTTGCTCAACACACTTTCTTGGGCTGGTTTTACTCATTGGCAGCCCCCTGTAACTTCTTTTTTCTATTGCTCAGCTATCTTTCCTGAACTCTATATCTGCATCTTGAACTGTATCCACATCCCCACTGGGACATTGTTATGGGTTGGATGTGAAATGTCCTCTGGAGGCTCATGTATTTGAACACACGGTCCCCAGCTGGGGCTCTGTTTTGGGAGGTTGGAGACTGCTTAGGAGGTAGAGCCTTGGTGGAGGAAGTGGATCTCTAGGGTTGGGCCTTGAGGCTTATAACCCAGCCCCACTTCCCTGCTGGTCTGTGCTTACTAACTGCCAACAGTTGACACAATGTGAGCTGCCTCACCCACCTTCCATGCCATGATGGACCGATTCCTTTTGCCTGCATGTATGTGATAGGTAAAAAGTAGCTGTATGACGAATAGGGTTGATTGGGAGAAAGCACCAGGACACAGATAAAACTCTATCAGAATAGAGTTTATTAGCAGAGGAACACATGGGACAGATTCCCTTCCAGGCAGGGAAAATGTCTGCCCTGCTCATGAGCTGGGGTCCTTTAAAGCGGGGGAGGCTTCTGCTTCCTGTAGAAGGTGGGAAGATGTATTTTTTTTAAAGTTGGGCAGGGGAAAGTGGGAGAGCGGGACTGTTAAAACCTGTCCTCTTTAGCAATCAAAGGGGAAGCCTGCCATGTTGGCCAAACAGTGGAGAAAAGTCTGCTTCTCTTGACTTCAAAGACTAGGGTGCTTATCAACTCAGTTCCCTTTTCTCAGGGACTTGTGAGGTCTGTGAGACCCTGTTGGTGAGGGGGTGGGGCTGCTGCGGTTTGAAACCCTAATAGTATGTAAGTGTACCTCTGTCATGCAATGCCTGTGGAAGTCAGAAGAGGTCGTTGGATCTCCTGGAACTGGAGTTAAGGAAAGTTGTTAGCAGCCATGTGGGTGCTGGGAATCAAACCTGAGTCCTCTGAAGAACAGCCAGCACTCTTAACTGCTGAGCCATCTTTCCAGCCCTGTGAATCCCTCTTTCAAAAACAATTATTTTTGCCTTATGCAGCAGCACATGCCTTTAATCTCAGCACTTAGGACTCAGAGGCAGGTAGATGGAGCGCTGTGAGATCCAGGCTAGCCTGGTCTACATAGCAAGTTCCAGGCCACTTGGGGCTACAGAGAGACCTTGTCTCAAAATAATAGTTTTTATCTTTTAAAGTTTCATATACTTATACAGTATAAATTACTCTTATCCACCCACCACCTCCCTCCAACTCCCTCTAGTGCCATCCATCCAGTCTCCTTACCAACTTCATGTCATATTTTTGTTGTTATTAATCCCTTGAGTCTAATTAGTGTTGTCCATATGCACAGCAGTGCGAAGCCCTCCACTGGGGCACAAACATCCAAGCGTCTTAAACTGTAACCAAAATAAACCTTTCCTTCCCTACGTTGCTTCTGGTCAGGTATTTGGTTACAGCAATAATAAAAGTAACCCAGACACTTCAGACTTCCTGCCCCAAGTAGAAGTGCTGATTATCGAGGCCTTCAAAACATCTCTGCTAAAGGTCTCCTCTACCTTTTCGTGGAGTCCTGTGTTATCTATGTTGTTCCTGTGACCAAATAGCTAATAAGTAATGACTTGTGGAGAGATTTACTTTAGACTGCAGTCTGAGAGTGCAGTCTATTGGGGTGGAGAAGCCACGGTGGTTGGAACCTGCTCACTTCTGGGAGGATCAGGAGGCAGAGAGACTGGACAGAGTGCGGCCGGGTTGTAAAACCTCAGGCTCCTCCTCCAGTGGTCCACTTCTTCCAATTAGATCCCATCAGTTAAAGGTTCCACAGTGTTCCTAAAAGTCACGTGTTCAGATTCAGGAGCCTGTGAGAGTCATTTCACATTTCTCCTGTAAAACCCACCAAGTTGCTCAAGTCAACGCCCCCTGACCAAGCTTCTTCCCCTCTCAACCTTTGAGTTCGTAGTTAACCCAAAGCACGGGCTGAGCCACCAGCTGCTGTGAAAGGCCCCTCCATGCAGACAGGTCTCCTCTGTCCCCCCTTCTGTGGCTCTCGTTGCCCTCAGAGTGAAGCACATTCAGGGTTACAAAGCCCCTCAGAAATGGGATCCATGCCCACGTCTGTACCTGCTCCCTCTGCCTGTACCCCAGGCTGCCACTATCCACAATAACTCATAAGCAGCTTTGCTCTCCCTCTGGGCTTCAGCAGAGGCTATAGCTCATCCTGTCCCATGGCCCGTTCTGTCAGTTTTCACTGAATGCCACTTCCTCCTGACATCTGTCCCTGACCTCTGCCTTACTCCAGTTCCACAGTGGATTACCCGCCATCTTGCTCAGAAGACTGTGATTTGCCATCACAGCACCTAGACATTATGAGCTGTCACTTATCTTTTCTGAATCTGAGTGTTGATCCGTGTGGAAGAGCCATGGCCACACCCAGCCACTTGCACTGATGAAACCACGTGTGTCCCTCAAATGTGTCCAGGAAGAGGAAAAGCTGAGACTCACTGTGGTAGGGCAACTCCAGGGAGGACGAGCTCGGCCCTATCCGCGGTTCCCAGGTGCCTGGCCCACTATGGGGTACAGAGTGGGGAGATACTCAGGAAACTGCGTGTGACTCTGACAGGGATGGGAGGGTTAGACAGAATGTTTCCTGAATGCCCAGGACGTAAGGGTTTGAGCAAGTCTAGATCGTCTTCTTTCCTACTTGCTAAAATGGAGCACAGACGTCATCCATCCTTAATCACCTTCCAGCTCCCAGACAAGTGAAAATGGACGTCGCTTAGAGGAGGTTCCTGGCCCTGCCTTGCCACCACAGCTCCTTTTGGCTTTTGTTTTTGTTTCTAAAGACACCTTGGGAAACTTGGTCTCATACAGGATTGACAATGCATTGTAAGTCAACTGCCTGGGCTTACTGTTTCCTGTTGATCTATTTATTTGTTGTTGTGTGTGTATGTGTGTTATGAGTGTGTGTGTTTACATGTGTGTGCAGGTACCCATGCCCATGGAGGCCAGGGGTCAATGTCTTGTGTGTCTCTATAGCTTTCCACTTCTTTTTTGAGACAGGGTCTCTTGCTAAAGGAAAGGAATTTCTTTTTTGTTTGTTTTTGTTTTCTGAGACAAGACCTCATAAGTCCAGGCTGGTCTGGAACTCCTAACCTTTCTGCTTCTACCCCCCAAGTGCTGGGATTACAGGGTGCATGCCACCATGCTCAGTTTGGAGGAATTTTATTTCTTATATATTTGGATAAGTCAGATTGAAACTCAGGAGCATCAGCTGGGGACAGAAAGATATGACTGGGCAGCCACTGAGAGCCACGCACAGCTCTACTGGTGATGGCTGTAAGGCTTTGGTGGCCTGGGATAGTCCTGCCCTAAAGAAGACAAGATGTGGCTAGACCTGGAGTCAAGTTAGGAGTTGAGTTGAGCTGTGTGACCTTTTCAGTGGATGTAATGGCCACACCTTGGAAAATTGGGATTCTGTGTAGCCTAACTGCCTACAATGCACTCCATTTATCAAAATAAGAATACTTAGTAAAGCTGGGCATGGTGGTGCATGCCTTTAATCCCAGCAGTCAGGAGGCAGAGAGGCAGATCTCTGTGCGATCATGCGATCAAGGCCAGCCTGGTCTACATAATGAGTTCCAGGCCAGCTGAGGCTACAGGGAGACCCTGTTTCAAAAAAAATAATAATAATAAATACTGTATAAGATATAAAGTACTTGAACAGGAAAGATAGTTCAGTGTTTAAAGAGTGTACTGCTCTTGCAGAAGACTTGAGCTTGGTTCCTAGCCCCCGTGTTGGGCAGCTTATAACTGCCTGTAACTCCAGCTTCAGAGAATCTGACACTGTCTTCTGGCCTCTGCAGGCACTGCACTTATGTATACGCACACACGCACACACGCACGCATACACGCACACACAGAGAACTAAAAATAAAAAAATTATTTTTGTCTTTTTGAAGCAGGGTCTCCCTGTAGCCCCAGCTTTCCTGGAACTCACTATGTAGACCAGGCTGGCCTTGAACTCACAGAGATCTGCCTGCCTCTGCCTGCCAAGTGCTGGGACTACAGGCATGCGCCACCACACCTGGCTAAAAATAAAATATTTTTAATTGAAGATATAAGACTAAATGCATATAGATGTTATTAATGCAGAATGTAATCATAAACATAAGGTCTTGAATTAAGTATGGGAAATCAACACATGTATGTGATCATTTAGATACTAAAATGCAAAGATGAAAGGGAGTGGCACGGACTCTGTAGAGAGCCCCCAGCCTCTGTTCTAAGTACATGACAGCCCAGTGCTCCCAAGGGGCTTGGGTTCCTCCAAGTGTCAGAGGCATCCATTAAAATTCAGGTAAAGCAACCCTAGTAAATGCTGAAATTGTCAAGTGGGAGCTCAGAGGAGGGAGCTGCTAGTATGCTCCCCTCTGATGAGGGAGGGATGGAGACACAAGGACATTGGTACCGGAACCTGGTGTAGGACTGACAGACTGATGCGGAGGGGAAGGGAAGGCAGGTGGGGCCAATGGCAGAGCTGAGGGAAGAAGGGAAGAGTGGGGAAGGGAGGGGACAGCGAGGGGTGTGTGGTGTCCTGGAGAAAGATAGTGGTGAGTGTGGGTCAGTGTGAACAGGTGACCTTGGTGACCTTGGAAGACTTTACACTCTGTACTGAGAAATATAGATTGCCCCCTGCAGTAACACGGTGTCAGATTCTGCAACATTTCTTTTTCTTAGAAGGAAAGTGACGTGCTTGGACTTGTTGGTTTAGAAGCCGGACTGGAGATGAAGAGGCTGACTGGGAAGTAGTTGAGATGATTCAGGTAACAGTGATCAGGGTGGTTTCCCACCTGTGAGTCATAACCCACTAGTGGATCCTGAAATGGTTTTAGAGACTCATAAGCTGCATTTAGAAAAAAATATACTTGAACGGAAAAGGAAATAGCAAATTATCTCATGTAATAAGGTGAACGGTTTCAGAAATCTGCCGTTCGTTTGATGGACTTCTATGTTACCCATAAAATTTGAATTGTACTAAACTCACTTCCGTGATGATCTTCAAAGTGAACAATGTGCAGTTGCTGCAAATGAAACGTGTTCAATGATAGAAATATCATCTACCAGCACAGGCACCATCATCTTGGATAGAGAGCATGACGGGCTGGGGCTGGTGAGGTGGCTACATGGGTGAAAGGCTTGCCACGCAAGCCTGAAAACCTGAATTTGATCCCTGGAACCCAAATAAAACTGGAAGGAGAAAACCAACCCTGCAGATCGTCCTCCGACCTCCACACATGTGTGCGCACAGACATATTCATAATAAGAAATTAGTTTTAGAAGTATGACAGGGTGGGGCTAGAGAGATGGCTCAGTGATTAAGAGCTCTAGCTGCTCTTTCAGAGGACCCAGGTTCAATTCCCAGGACCCACATGGCGGCTAACAACCTCCATAGCTCCAATTCCAAGGGATCCGATGCCCTCTTCTGACTTTTGTGGGCATTGCACGACATGGGTCCACTTACATACATGCATGCAATACACTCAGACACATGAAAAATAACTGCTGGGCGTGGTGGCGCATGCCTTAAATCCCAGCACTCGGGAGGCAGAGGCAGGTGGATCTCTGTGAGTTCAAGGCCGCCCTGGTTTACATAGTGAGTTCCAGGACAGCTGGGGCTATAAGGAGACCCTGTCTCAAAAAAGACAAAACAAAACAAAAGCTAAAATATAAAAAAGTATGACAGGATTGAAAGCTTTATGTATAATGCAGGGGTTATTACCTGGAAAATTAGAGAAAAAGTGTTTATTAAAAAAAAAAGAAACAGGAAACTAAGGATGACTCACTGAGGATATGGTTCAGTTCACTTCCTCCAATTTTTAAAAATTTATTTATCTTAAACTTTTTAATTACATTTATTTATTTGTATTCTGTGGGGAGGGGGCATGTGAAGGTCAGAAGCAACTAACTGGCAGGGTCCCCCCTCCAGCGTTGTACATCCAGGAAATCAAACTTGGTCATCAGGCCTGGCAGGAGATGCCACCAATATCTCTTGACAGAAAGTACAGACATATGTACAATTGGAGAAGCATGTTTAGGATTCATGAGTCATGACAGGTGGACAAAGGAAACTCATCCACGGGGTTTGAGAATAAATAATGGTCATGACCACGCAGTCCTAGACAGTCACAAGACGAGTCCTAGACAGTCGCAGGGCCCAAAGGAAGCCCCACTTGATGTACAGAGAGACTTTCAAGAAGAAACAGCCTTGAACTGAGCTTTGAAGGAGAGTTAGAGTGAGCCAAAAGTAGGTAAAAAGGAACAAGTATGAGAGCGATCTGAGAAGAGGGACCAGCCAGCTGGATGCTTGTGAGAGTGTGGTGTGTGTGTGCACCGTGGGTGAACTGTTACACGGAGAAGCCAGAGGAGGGTGTAAACTCTTTTCCCATCATGCAAAGGAGTACAAGTCCTATGTAAGATGAAAGTCACCCAAGGAGTTCGTGAGTCAGTGGCAAGGTCACAGAAAGTGACCCAAGTTCTCTCTTTGAGGAGAACTGGATTAACAGGCAGAAAAACAGAAGTGAGAGTCTTAATCTGAGAAGAGTTGCTGCGTTTCACTAAGGCAGAGTAAAAGGCATGAAGAGCTAAAAATATTCAATTAGTTATCATCTGAGACCTCCCTGGTCAGCATCTTGTCAGGTGAATAGACTCAAGGGGAAAGTTTAGAAAATTTAATTGTGGGGAATCATATATATGTTGCAATACCATACATGTATAGTATATATAATCTGAAAAGGTAAATATGGTGACCCCGGAATAAACTCCTCTGCCTCTTCCCGTGCCCTGATGTAACTGCTGCTGGGTGGTGATACTGGGAAGTATGGCCTTTTCCAGGAAATAAAGAAGGAAGGAAAGAAAATAGGTCACCAGGTCAAAAATAAATAAGTAGTAAATAAATGAATAATAAATAGATGGAAGGGAGGGAAAGGGGAAGGATGTAGGCATTTTGTCCTTGGAATCTTGCTTGTATTGGGGACGCATAGGAGAAAACACACATTCTGAATGACTGTTCAAAACCTCCCTTATTGGAGTATTGTTGGGTATATACCTAAGTTTGTAGGTGGGAATTATTTTTAGAGAACAATCTTAGTAAACGTTTAGATCTGTTTTTTCTTCTACATTATTTTATTATTGTGTTTTTTATTATTTATTTATTTATTTATTCATTTATTTATTTATTTTTGGTCTTTGAGACAGGGTCTCCCTGTAGCCCCAGCTGTCCTGGAACTCACTACATAGACCAGGCTGGCCTCGAACTCACAGAGATCCGCCTGCCTCTGCCTCCCGAGTGCTGGGGGTAAAGGCGTGCACCAGCACTATTATTGTATTTTTTAAATGATTTTTTTCAAGTTAGCGCGCCAAATAATGGGCTTCATTACAGCATTTTCATGCATATATGTTATTGCATGTTGTCTTATATGTTCCCCTCCCCCACTACCCTCCTCACTTCATCCCCCCTCCTCCTGAAAGCAGTCTTCTGGCTGTCTTCCCTTCTGTTTCATGTCATCTATTCTCTCTCTCTCTCTCTCTCTCTCTCTCTCTCTCTCTCTCTCTCCGCCCCCCCAGGTCTTGTTTACAGTGTCCTGGTTTTCAGTCTTTTAAACAGGAGACATCCATGCAGAGTTCTTACTGAGTGCCCCACGCTGGACGGTTGACACGTACAGTCAGTCAGCTACATGCACTCTGAATCCTCACAGGCTCCTGGGGTCGGGCCTGGCATCGAGCCCTTTTCAAGCTAGGAAACTGGTACTCAGAGAGGACTATGCCTGTGATGTTTACTGTTAATTGTTTGACAGAATCCAGAATCACCTGGGAGATGAGCCCATGGGTGCACCTGTGCGGGATTAGCGTGACTGCGGCAACTGATGCTGAAAGACTGCTCTTGACTGTGAGCAAGACCATTCCCTGGGCAGGGAATCCTGAACTGAATGAAATGGAGGGCGTTAGGGGCGCACTAGAGAGCATCTTTCTCCGGGTTCCTGATGGCGGATGTGATGTGATGTGATCAGCTTCTTCAGCCCCTGTTGCCTTGACTCCCGCCTCAGTGGATTGTACTCCTGAGCTGTGGGCTGAAATAAACCCTTTCCCTCTACGTTGCGCACTGTCAGGATATTTTTAAAACACAGTAACAGGAAAAGAAACAAGGACATCTCTCTTCTGTCTTCCTGCTTGAGCCTTACAAGTCATTTAAATGTCAACTGCTATGCAAACAATGGGGTGTCTGACTAGGAGCCCTGAGCTCCTGGATTCCACCACATCCCCAGAGTGGTGCTCCTGGGAGAGGAGGTCTCCTTAGCAGGTGGAACCTGGTGGAGGATTTAGGTCACTGTGCCCTTGAAGAGGATTGTGCGGCCTCTGCCCTTTTCTTTCTCTACCTCTGGCTCTGCTCCCTGGCTCATGAGGTAAGCCTTTAATCTGCCATGGGCACCTACCATGATGTGCTACCCAGAGTGAACAGGGAACTCTGTGATGGACTGGAGCCTCAAAAACTATGAGGCAAAATAAATCTCTTTATAAGTTGTTGCAGTGGGAAGCCGATTAACAGTGTTGCCATTTGCTGCTCACACTACATTGTAGTCCTCACTATGTTGTTTCCCAGTCCACAAAATGGGAATGTGTAGTGTAACTATTGGGGACAGGAGACAGAAATGTAAGTGAACGTAGCTCATTCCAGAGAAGAGGAGGAAAGGGGGAAGAGGGAAGAGGAAAAGGAGGACGAGGAGGAGGAAGGAGAGGAGGAGGAAGGGGAGGAGGAGGAAGGGGAAGAGGAGGAGGAAGGAGAGGAGGAGGAGGAAGGGAAGAGGAGGAGGAGGAAGGGGAGGAGGAGGAAGGGGAGGAGGGGGAGGAGGTGGAAGGGGAGGAGGAAGGGGGGAGGAGGAGGAGGGGGAGGAGGAGGAACAGCAACAAGCTTTGCTCCCTTGAACTAAACTAAAAGGTTGGTCTGTCTTTTCTCATGGTAAATGTGGCTTGAATTGCTTTGGGATGGTCTTTGGTTACCATCTCTGGTCTGTGGTCTACACTGGCCTTATTCCCTTGGTGGATCTTTCCTGGAGGTGGGAAAGTTAACCTTTGTCCATTCCAGGTTTTAAGACTTCACTACCTGCTAGTTCCAAAAAGAAAGGTATCCTCGGCTTCCACAACCCCATGCTAACCTCCGTGGACCTCTTCTGTGTCCAAGACTCAGCTTAGAGCATCGCCACCCTGAGCCAACTGCTGTGCTCAGAGAATGATGTTTTCAGATAGTCCTGAGCAGGCAGAACAGTCTGACAGTCTTCTAAGAATCCAGGGTTGGGAGGGAAGTAGTTACTCAGAGCAAGACCCAAAGGATGGTAAATAAAATAAATATAAAATTTAAAAGCACAGGAAGCATACACAAGTCTCATTTATGTTATTCAGCTAGAATCTAGGAAGCATTTCGAGATGGCTAGAGTCTGTTCCATTCTTCATTTGGACTAAGAAGACATTTCCTTTTTATTTTTCCAGTTTTACTTGGAGTTCTGAAACTCCTCAAGAGGCAAATTAAAGCATCCCCTTGAGGGATCTCAGACGTGATTAAAGGTGTAACCACCCACAGTGTCTGCTTTCTGCTACCCGTGAGTATCAGAGTGGCTCCTGGCCTGATGTGTGATCTGCTGGCATCAGTTGCATGTTTTTTTTTGTCTTGTCTTGTCTTTAATTTTTTCAATTTTTTCGAGGGGTAAATAGTTAAATATCCTCATTTAATTACCAAAATATTTAGATTTTCAGGAGTGTGTGGTGTTTGCAAACAGCCTTCCGATGTTTTGCCACCATTAAGCCAATCCTAGTCTGGATGTTTGAGTCAGCTTGATGAGCAAGCTGCTGCTTCGGAATGTGGATACTAGCATGGGCAGGTGAGGTGTGTCAGCAGGTGAAGGTGTTTGCATCGAGCCTGGCAACCTGGGTTTGATCTGTGGGATCCACATGATGGAAGGAGTAAACTGATTTAGGCACGTTGTCCTCTGACCTTCTCATGTGTGCTGTGGGAGCATATGGAGAGAGAGAGAGAGAGAGAGAGAGAGAGAGAGAGAGAGAGAGAGAGAGAGAGAGAGGCAGGCCTCACAGAAGGTGGGCAGGGACTCAATCAGCAGCCAACAGTTTGGGTGTTTCCTATTTGTTCAGTGTTGTGTGGCTTTTCCATAAACACTGTTGCTCCTGTAATTTAACTCCTACACTACACATGAAGAGTCCGCTATAGTTATTCCTCATACTCACTGGAGGCCCACGTGAATGAGATTCTACCTCTGTAAATGCCTGCCATGGTGTGTGTGTGTGTGTGTGTGTGTGTGTGTGTGTGTGTGTGTGTGTGTGTGATCTAGAGCGGTAGCTCAGTGGTTAAGAGCTCTTGCTTCTCTTACAGAGAACTCAGGTTCTGCTCCCAGCACCCACATGGTGACATCTGTAACTCCAGTTCCAGGGAATCTGACACCACCTCTGGCCTCTGGGGAAACTCCATGCATGTAGTATATATATACAATGCAGGCAAACACATACAACTTAAAAAATGCCTGCAGGGCTAGAGACACAGCTCAGTAGTTAAGAGCACTGGCTGCTTCTGCAGAGGACCAGGGTTCCACTCCCAGCACCCATATGGCAGCTAACAACTGTCCATAACTTCAGGGGATCTGATGTCTTCTTCTAACCTCTGTGGGCATTGCATGACGTGGGCACACTTACACACATGCAGGCCATACACTCATACACATAAAATAAAAATAAATAGTTATTTAAATGCCTTCCACTGGTATAGTATACTGCAGATGGGATATTTCTTCCCATAATAAAAAGATTTCAGTACTAACTAGCAATCTGTAGCCCACAGGGATTGAGGGTCAACCAGAGTGAGGTTCACCTGGGGATTTTACACTGTAGAGATTTTCTCAGCTGACCTGGATGGTTTTAGATGCAAAAGGTGGACCCCGTTCTCAGTTAAGCTCTTGTGGAACCTTGTGTTCCTATTTACTTAATCCTATGCTGTTGCTGCCTGGGTGATTAGGGCTTTATGTGTAATTTGTTTTATTTTTATATCCAAGAACACTTAACCATGTTAAGAAGGTTATTCTTAGGACTAGATAAAACCAGTTCCTTTACCATTTTTTCTTTTAGACAAGTTTTAATTATGTAGCCCCAACTGGCCTGAAGCTCTCTATGTAGATCAGGTTAGCCTCAAACTCACAGAGCTCCACCTGCCTTTCCTTCCTCAGTGCTGGGACTAAAGGTGGGGCCACCACACCCAGCCAATTGTCTCTTATCATTAAAATGATTTTTATTATTTTTATATTAAGTCTGAGTGTATTGCCTTGCATGTATGTAAATGCACCCATGTCATGTGTCATGCAATGCCTGGGGAGGTCAGAAGAGTGTCAGATCCCGTGGAACTGGAGTTAAGGACAGTTGTTAGCCACGATGTGGGTGCTGGGACTCGAATCCAGGTCCTCTGCAAGAAGAGTCAGTTCTCTTAACTGCTGAGCCATCTCCCCAGCCTCCCTTCTCATTTTTATTTTTTATGAACTGTGTTCTAGTCCTTTTCTCGTTGTGCAATGTTCTCTGCCTCTCCTAGTTTCTCAACAGTCTTTGAAAAATATGGACCCTCAAGCTGTATGTATTTGTGGCCTCAAACTTGGTCAGCCCTGTGTGTATGAGGAACGCTCTTTCGCACTTTCGGTGTGTCGCATTTCAGCATATATGTGGTGAAGTCACATCTGCTCTCTTTAAATAGCAGTTCCACACTACTGAAACAAAGGTCCTGGTAACAGGAAAATAACTAATTCAGTCGCCTTAATTGATGTGGGAAGACCTAGCCGGAAAGGGGGCTGGCACTGTTCTGTGACTTGGGACTCTGGACTTTTTTTTTATGTATATTAGTGTATTGCCTGCATGTGTGTAAGTGCACCCATGTTGTGCAATGCCTGTGGAGGTCAGAAGAAGATGTCGGATCCCCTGGAACTGGAGTTACAAACAGTTTTCTGCCATGTGGGTGCTGGGAATCAAACTGGGGTCCTCTGCAAGAGCAGCCACTGCTCTTAACTGCTGAGCCATCTCTCCAGTCCTGGGACCCTGGAGTTTTTAAGAGCAGAGGTGAGCACTAAGCACGCACGTGTGCATTCTGTCTCTGCTCTTGACTCTAGATGTGACATGGCTAGCTGCTTCCTGCCACCTTCCTGTAATAACGGGCTGCACTGTGGAACTGGGAGCCAAATAAAAGCTCTCTCCACCAGCTTGATTTTTGTCAGGGTGTTTGATGACAGCAACAGAAATGAAACCAGGACAGACAGGATTAAACATTATAATAGTGTGCAGCTATGATGCGCGTCAGGCCGTCCTGTCTCATGTAGCCTGGAAGCAACAGCTACATGCACTGCAGTGCAGTGGAGACCACAGATTGGTAGACACATGTCACATGCAGTAGCCCATGCTGTCATGAGATGTAGAGAGAAACACAAGCAGGTAGACTTTCCACAGAAAAAGTTCTGGGTTCCGATCTCTCCTGTTTTATGTGTCAGATTATAACAGTGATGTGTGTGTGTGTGTGTGTGTGTGTGTGTGTGTGTGTGTTTCTACCAGGGGCAGCCATGGGGCCTGAATGGATGACCACTGAACTGAAATAACCCCGGGGGGGGGGTCCAGGGCTCCATGCACCTGACTGCGAATCGTATCAGCAGCTCTGCTTTTATTCGAATACTCTTTAGAAAGACCGCTGCCTAGTGAGTTCAGGGCCAGCTTGAGCTACATGAGATACTTTTACCAACTGAGCTATACTCCCCATCCTACTATATATGTAATGCTTTATATGTGTGTCAGTTCTGTGTGTGTGTGTGTGTGTGTGTAGAAAAAAATTCTTTGCAAAAGCACACAAGAGTTGTGGTGTCACAGGGAAAGCAAAGTATAACTCTGAAGTCACCCCAAGAGTGTACCCAGGAGCAGTGGGGTTTTGATATAGAATCCTTTGAAGATATAAAGCAAAAACTGGGCAATCATTAAACCTCTGATAGTATAGACTCTGCTTCATTTGATGGTACAGAGGATTTGTAGTAACATGTAGTTACCCTAACAGCATACTTCTTGATCTAAATAGTAGATTTATTTCATCTGATATTTATTTATTATTTAAATCTAATGTTGATGATACTCATATATTTAATTTTATCTTATGTTTCTAAGTGTAATTTACATTGAAGTTCACCCCTGGCCTCTTTTTATTTTTAGTTCTATGTGTTCATTTCTTTTTAGATGAAGGGTTTTGAAAAAATGCTTTTTTGAGTTTTGAGACAAGGTAGCTTGAGGATGACCTTGAACTCCTGATCCTCCTGCCTCTACCACCAGAGTGCAGGGCTTACAGGCAAACACCAGCCACCACACCCAGTTGGTGTTGGGAATTGAACCCAGGGCTTTGCATTGCCAGGCACCTGCTCTACCAGCTGAGCTGTGTCCCCAGTGACGTTTGCCTTCTTTCAGTGCCCAGTTCAAATGTTTTTTTTTTTTGTTTTTGTTTTTGAGACTGCATCTCTCTATAGCCCCAGCTAGCTTGGAACTCGCTATATAGACTAGGCTGGCCTCCATCTCGCAGAGATCTGCCTGCCTCTGCCTCCCAAGTGCTGGGATTAAAGGCCTGCACTATCATGCCCAGCAGGAGTTCATTGAGTTTTGACCCAAGCACAGTTATATAATGATAACCACACTCCAGACTCAGACTGTCAGGGTTGGGAATGTAGCTCAGTATTGGAGCACTTGCTTAGAGTCCACAAGTCCCTGGTTTTGATCAAGAGACAAAAAGATCTTAAGAATTTCACCTTTTGGGTCTGGAGAGATGGCTCAGCAATTAAGAGCACTGACTGTTCTTGCAAAGGACCCAGGTTCAATTCCCAGCACCCACATGGTGGCTAACAACCGTCTATAACTGCCAATTCCAGGGGATCCAATGCCCTCTTCTGATCTCCACAGGCATTGCATGACATGGATGCACTTACACACATGCAAGCAATACACTCATTCACATAAAAATTAAAAAAGACTTTTATTACAATGTCAATCTGGGCTATTTTATAACAAAAGGTTTGATTTATTAACTTATAAACATAGAACTCTAGTTAACATGCTACGATTATCTCAGCCTTTTACTTAAGTACTAACCTTTCTCTCTTCAAAACATTTATATTATAGGCAGTCAACAAAATCTACTTAAAAGATTTTTTTGTTAGATTGCCAAAAGTGAAAAAAATAACTTGAACTAAACAAAAACACAAACATGAGCTTGTGTGTTTGACAGGGAGGGACTGATGTGAGACCACACAGACCCTTGCGCATCCATGATCACTGCTGCACCACCACAACAGCCAGGAAATGGAGCCGCCTAGATGCCCGTCGGCAGGAAGAAAATGTGGTCCATATACATAATGGAATTTTATGCAGAGGTAAAGAAACATGAAATCGTGTCCTTTGCAGGAAAAATGGACAGAACTGGAAATCATTATGTTAAGTGAAATAAACCAGACTTAGACTAATACTGAATGTTTTCTCTCAGATGTGGAAACTACATTTAGCTCGTGTGTATGTGTGTGTGTGTGTGTGTGTGTGTGTGTGTGTGTGTGTGTTCATGAAACTAGAGAGGGGACTGTGGGTGGGAGGAAGAGATCTTGAGGGGAAATGACGTCATGGAGTACCTGTGATAAGAAGGGCAGAAAGGGGGACTAACTGGTGGAGGTGGGGGAACCAGCTGGAGGGGGAGGAGGAAGAGGGGATGAGGGTAAATGAGGGCAGAGTACAATGACAGGGACACATGAGGACTCCAAGAGAAACATGCATCACTTTATGTGCTAACCTAAAAAGTTAATACAGAGAATAAATGACCAGTGCATTTTGGGGGACTCTATGGGGGGAACTGTGATCTTTGGAAATAACTAAAATGTGAAAATGCCTGCTTTGCTGTGGTCTCCATAAAGTCTGTGAAAAATGCTCATTTGCCAGTCGGGAGTCTCCACGTGAGTCGCAGAGCCGCTGTTCTGCTCGCTGCAGTCTTCCAGTAGCCGTGAAAGCTTAGTTCTAACAGCAAGTTCAAAGTCTATCAAGTTTATTATCTGAGCGCAGGGACAAACAGGCCTGTCACTGTAGTTCTTATTGGAGAGTTTTAGAAGTGTACTGTCACAGTGTCTTAAAGTTGGATTTCAACTTTCGCTTTGCTAAACAGTGAGACAAAATATTTGATTCTAAACCAAATCATTCATTGGGCGACTTTCTTCTTGTGACCAGCCTTCCAGCAAAACGTTTTCATGATCAATTGCTGCTTTCCAAAGTAGCTTTATTGAGATACAGTTCATCATACAATTCAGTGGTTCGTCATATATTTACAGAGTTGGATAGCCATCCTCATAATCTGAATTCAGAGCTTTTTACCATCCCCTCACCCCAAAGAAAATTTGGCTGCATTTACAGACACTTCCCCTCCCTCCCCAGCCCCACACAACCTCTAATCTACTTTCTAAATGACAATGATTTTGAACTTGGTAGGACATTTTACTTTAATCCTGGTAACTAAAAGCAGACTGTGTTCATTCGTATTTACTCTGGTTAAACTCTGTCATTTTTGACATTAACTCTAGACAATTCGTTGTTCCACTTCCTAGAGTGCCTAGGCTAACAACTTTTTCTAAAAATAGTTATTTTGAAAAAAACTAGGTCTTCCCCTTTCTTCCTCTGTTTGGATATCTGACTTTGACTCCTTTGAACATGTAGCTGAGGGACATTGGTGGTCAGGAAAACAAATATTAGCCTGAGTTGTTCCAAAAGCCCCTTCCTTTAGCAATTAACAGGGAGTTTACAGAACTAAAAATATTTCAGCAGCATGAATTTTCTCAACAAATGACTTAGTGAAAGTAAACAACCAAAGCTCTAAAATATACAACAGCAGCACTTTTGTTCAATGTGATTTTTAAGCGTTAGGTCTGTTTAGCTTTTAAAAGAAAACCCATCAGATGGGTGGAGAGATGTAGCTTCACAGCTAGTTAGTATTCTTTGGGAAAGAAAATGAGCTATTTTCTTGCCTGGATTTTTTTCATTTATTTACGTGTGTGTGTGTGTGTGTGTGTGTGTGTGTGTGTGTGTGTGTGCGCGCGTGTGTGCGCATGGGTACCATGGTATGTCTTTGAAGATGAAGGTTTTTAAAGTCAGTTCTGTTCTTCCATCACGTGGGTTCAGGGACTGAACTCACATCCTCAGCCTGAGAAAATCCGTGCTTGGAATAAATGGGATAGACTTTGACACCCTAAGATGACTTAGTATTTCAGAAGAATAAATTTCTAAACTTTTTTTGAATGTATTTTTAAGATGTTTTATATATTGTTATTGTGTGTGTACGCATTGTGAATGATGGGGGCACATGTCAAAGTGCACATGTGGGGGTCAGAGGACAACTTTGTGGAGTTGGTTCTCTCCTTCCATCTTTACGTGGGTTCTGGAGGTCCAACTCGGGTGGCCAGGCTTTTGAGAGACCTGTATCCACTGAGCCATGTCACCAGTTCAAATTGCTAAGCTTTTTAGTAGCTAAATTTATTTTTCATGTTAGCTTATATATTAGCTACTGATAGCTGTGTAACAAATAATGCCAAGTTTAGTGGCTTAAAACGTTTGTTTCTCACAGTCGAGCCAGGACTTAGGAAGTGTTTGGCTGGGCAATTTAGATCCTGCTTTCTCAAGAGGCTCACTCAAACTAGCTTGAGTTTGACATCGGGGTTCACCAAGGAGAAAGGAGACCCCCCCACACACATGGTTGGCTAATCAGTGGCAGCTTGTGGCAGACAGTTTCTCTCCACAGGTGACTCTAGCATAGTGTCTAGCTTTCCCAAGAGTGAATGACCTAAAAGGACGATGAGCCGTGGTAAAAACTCCATACTTCAGAACTGCTTCAGCTTAAGGGCCAGGGATATAGCTCAGTGGTAGTGTTTGCCTGGGCTGCCCCAGGATCTAGGGGGAAGCCCCAGCACCCCACCCCAGATACACACCACAAACTCACAGAAATACACATACACAGACACACATATACCACACACAGACACATAAGCACACGTACGCATACATACACACAGACACCCATAGATACCCACATGCCACACACACACACACACATACACACACACATACACATGCAGACACATACACATCACACACACAGGCACACATATACATGGGCACATACATAAACACACATGTACCACACACACATGCACCACACACGCCGCACACACACCACACACACATACCACGCACAGAGACATACAGACACACACCACATCACATATACACACAGACACACTCACATCACACATACATGTACAGATCACACCACACATACCACACACATCACATACACACAGACACACTCATCACACCCACACCCACATCAGATAAACATACGCATATACAGACCCCCCCCACTCTTACGTCCCTGGTCCCTCAGCAGCTCTGGTTCAGTGTGAGAACAAAGTGCACAGGGTCATGCTCAGTGGATACTGTGGACTTGAGGATCGCTGGCTCCCACAGCTTATACCATAAGGACTTACAGATGCTTCATAAACATGACCAAAATATAAAGGCATTGCCTGTTTTCAAACATAAAACTCCTCTCAGAAGTATATTGTTAAAATATAAACATCCCTAGTTTACGGCAAGAACCTGATGAAAGCACGTATCCATTAAATTCCGAGACAATGACTCGTGTGGTTGAGAACATTAGGAACGTGGCGGAGTCATGCCAGCATTTTATCTGAAGAGCATCTTGGTGCGATCCCCCAGAATGAAGTTCTGGCAAAAGTTAGGCATGGAACTGAACCCAGTCCCCAGGGCTGTGCCTGGCCCTCCACCTTTCTTTGGGAGTCGTGGTCCTAAAGTAACTTCTTGCTAGAAAAGAGAAGCCTAATTTCTAGATGTGGTTTTCTTTTCTTCCTTCCTTCTTTCTTTTCCCTTCTTTCCTTCTCCTCCCTCCCTCCCTCCTTCCCTCCCTCCCTCCCATCCTCTCCCTCCCCCTCCCC